TTTTTTAAACTTTTTGGGCATGGGACCAATTAGATAGGTTAAGCAAATTGTTAATCATTTTGTAAAATCTAAACATTTTCATTTTATGATGAATATTTACCTTCTTAAAAAAAAAATCTAAAACAAGTTAATTAAAAAAAAAAACAGACCGGATTCTGTTAAAGAAATAAAAATAAAAAACCAAACCGGAGGACATCGTCGATGGATCCGTCAATTGCACGATTCCCATAATCAAAAAATTATTTTAATTTTAAATCTTGTCGTCATTGATTTGGATTAGTTTACAATTAAAACCCTTAAATTAAAAAATAATATAATCATCTTTGTTACAGAGATAAAGTTCTTGTTTTTAAACTTGTGTTGAAGATGCAGAGATCGAGGAAGAGAGAGCTAGAGAGGACTCATCACTCACAGAGTCAGTCACTGCATTTTCTTATCTTCTCAGAAAACAAAAAAAAACACTTTTTTCCCGAGAAAATCTTCCATTGAAGAGAAAAGGGCTCTTAAATGTAATGTGAATCAAGCATGAGACTATCCAGAGAGTGAGGCTCCTTCGATTTCACGTATTTGAAGCAAGCTTTAGAAATCGAAAGACTGTGTTTTGAAGAAATGGGTACTTCGCCGGAAAATCTGAGAATCGACATGCGAGAAGTTGAAGAGAAAGGTAGAGAAAGCAGTTGTGGTAGCTCCGATTTTCTGATATCGGAAACAACTAGACAAGAGGAGGAAGAACAAAGCCCTAGTAGTACTGACGATTTCACTGCTTCTCCGATTTCATCTCGTTGGTCGGTGAAGAATCACGACGGAGACAAGAAGATTCGTTCGAAACAATCGAGAGTTTCAGGTTCGTCATCTTCGTTTCAAATACACCCGCCGAGTGTTTGCTTTTATTCCTCAGTGACAATTTCGTAGCTTTTGTCCCCTGGAGTTAATTTAAGGTTGCTTTTTTTGTAGAGATTGAGATGATGAAGGAGAGATTTTCGAAACTGTTGCTTGGAGAAGATATGTCTGGTTCGGGAAATGGTGTATGCACAGCTTTAGCCATTTCTAATGCAATCACTAATCTTTGTGGTATGTGGAAATTACTCTCATGATTTGTTGGATTTATCTTTTTATATGATTGACTTTGTGTTTTGCTTGAATTAAGCTACATTGTTCGGGCAACTATGGAGGTTAGAACCGTTACCTACGGAGAAGAAAGAGATGTGGAGAAGAGAAATGGAATGGCTTCTTTGTGTGAGTGATCACATTGTAGAGATGACTCCAACTTGGCAAACATTTCCAGATGGAAGCAAACTTGAGGTATTGCAGGATTGCATATGTGGGTTTCGAGTTCTCGGTTTGGGGAAAGAAACGCGAAAATTGTTGGATTATAGACTCAGTTATTTTGTTCCATTGTTGTAGATAATGACTTGCAGACCAAGATCAGATCTTTATGTTAACCTCCCAGCTCTCAGGAAACTAGATAATATGCTTCTTGTAAGAACCCGTGACCTCTTTCATCTTAACCGAGTTTCTCTTATGGTATTTTGAGCAGCAAAGGCCTCATTTTTTCTTATTCTTCTGTCTTCTCAGGAGATATTAGATAGTTTTGAAGAGACGGAGTTTTGGTATGTTGACCAAGGAATCATGGCACACGAGTCAGCAGCGGATGGATCGACTTCTTTTCGAAAATCTTTTCAGAGACAAGAAGACAAATGGTGGCTTCCGGTTCCACGGGTTTCACCTGGAGGTTTACAAGAAAGCTCGAGAAAACAGTTGCAGCATAAACGCGACTGCACTAATCAGATGCTAAAAGCTGCAATGGCTATCAACAGTATCACGCTAGCCGACATGGAAATCCCCGAATCATACCTTGAATCTCTTCCGCGGGTAAAGAAAAAGAAACAACATATATATTCCGCTAACATCTCTAATATGAAAATCAAAGTTAAACATTTTTTCCTTTCTAATGTTTCAGAAAGGAAGATCTTGCCTCGGTGATTTAATCTACAGATACATTTCGTCAGATCAATTCTCACCTGAATATCTTCTTGATTGCCTTGACTTATCCTCTGAACATCAAGCCATAGAGATAGCTAACCGAGTCGAGTCATCGATCTACCTATGGCACAAAAGAACTAATGCCAAACCAGCTACCAATACTAAAACGTCGTGGGAAATGGTGAAAGAACTAATGGTTGATGGAGATAAGCTAGAGTTAATGGCGGATCGAGCTGAAAGTCTATTGCTTTCTTTAAAACAACGGTTCCCTGGCCTTCCTCAGACTGCTCTAGACATGAGCAAAATCCAATACAACAAGGTATGTTTCTCTACAATTCGGATAATCCCCAATCTTTCTGTTGTTTGCTTTGAGATAAACGTTATCCCTCTTTTTGGAATTAGGACATCGGGAAATCGATTCTGGAAAGCTACTCACGAGTTCTAGAAAGCTTAGCGTTCAACATCGTTGCACGTATCGATGATTTGCTCTTTGTCGATGACCTTACAAGACATTCAACAGATCAGATTCCAACAACATTAGGCAACGACGGTAATGACGCTGCTCTTAAGAACATTGCATTGCCGGTTACAACCTACACAACTCCAAGTTACTCTCCTTCAAAACCAGAGCTCCGATCATCAATCACAGTACCACCGTCTCCTTCCCGGTTCAAGATCCCTCACAGTAGCAGCGTTAAAAGAGTTTTAACAGCTTACGTAACAAAGAACGAACCAAGAACGAAGGACATTTCAGGCGAAAGATCGAGCCCTCCTTCGTCGAGTGAGAGATTGTCTCTGGAGAAATGCATGAAAGAGTCGTTGAATGTATCGAACCTTGATCCTGGGATTTGAATTACCTCCTTGGAAAAGTTTCTGTTTTTGGATCCTTTTTTCTAATTATAATGTTTATTTTTGTGTGTAGTTTAGATTTGTACAATAAAAACTGAAAAGTAAGTCAAATATTCGTTTTAACACTATTGATCAAATCGTATTTGAAGTTACTGGATCAAGAACTAAGACAAGTGTAAAGAGAATCTCCATGAAATTTTAGGACAAAAAGCAAGAAGAATCTCAACGATGCTCTGCTCAAAAGTAGATTCTTATCTAAACCGGACAAGAGTCAACTTCACATCAATCCAAACCAGTAACAACATCATACAAATGACAAATCAAATGAACTGTTTCTTTCAATACAAGAACTAAAAAGAGTTTTTATTTATTTATTTATATGCGTGGAAACTGGAAATTTCAAGAGTTTTTGTACAAAACCATCACCGGTTTATATATATAATGAAGGGAAAATTAAAATGTGAACTGGTCGGGTTAATCACTAAACCGCGACAAGAACCAAAAACAAACTCCCCTGTTTCTTTGCAAGCTACTACTACCTTCAAACTTCTTCCATACTTTTTTGTAATAATAAGATGTGAAGTTACTAAAAACAGAACTGATCCACTGCTACTCTATTCTTTTTTTGTTCCTATGTACCTACGAACTCGAAAACCGAACCAAATTAAAACCAGATTTTCCGTCTTAGAATCGATCCAATGGAGTACCGGGTTTTATTATACCTTGATTTTGTTGTATGATAACATGGCTTTAAGTAGTAAGATCTCTACTTAGTAATACAGAGATCCTGCAAGTTTGCAAAGTTTTCAAGAACGATTAGAGAAACAAAACAAAGAATTCTCGGGAACAAATTGATAAAAGATCGAGAATCGGTTTCTATGGTTAAATACCTTGCCACCAATTTCCTCTTGAGGCACTTCCCGAATCATCTTCTCCTCCTTCTTTCTTGTTCTGCAAAAAGAAAACATATTCAAAAAGATGATTTAAAAGCAATAGTCTATGTACAGGAGCGATAACTTCGTTCCAAGAACTCTTCAGAAAACACATGAAACTATTCTTCAGCCAGAGACAATAATCGATTAACAAGCGCGATAACTTTGGTTTCCATCACAAGATTCTTCAGCCAGAGTCTTCAGAGACAAGAATCGATGAACAAGAGCGATATCTATTCGGTTCTACAAAGCCCTTAAGAGGTCATCAAAAGAAAGTTCCACAAGACTAACTCTACAAAACATAAAGTTTCTAGCTTTTTATCCCGGATAATTCGACTTTTATATTACCGTAGAGTTGATGCTCGAATTCTGAGGCTGGAAATAAACATCAGGACCACCGTAATAGATGGAAGAACTCAGATGACAAGGTTGTACTCTCTGGTCCTGATAAACTGAACCAAGATTCTCATGTTGTTCCTTGTTTCTATCAACATCTCCTGCAAAATCATTCAAAAATCCATTCGAATCTCAAAACACTATCATCCACAACAAGAAATGCAAATCTGAAACCTCAAAGATCATGTTTTTATAGTTTAGAGATTACCAGTCTTTGAGGTTTTGTCGTTCCAGCCACCAGTCAGAGTGTCTTGTTGTTGTTGCATAGATTCTCTTCCTAGAACCTGAAACAAGAACAACAAAAACATAAACTTTCCCTAAAATCAAAACAGAATAGTATCAAATTCGATTGGAAAAACTTGTGTTCCAAGCCACGGAATCATGAAATTTTCTTCTTCCTCAGTGTTCTTATTCTTTAATTTGGTGGGCTTGTGGGGTCTTCAATAACTTTAAAAAATCTCCTTTTTTCCATTATTTGAAACAACAAACAAAAAAGCCTCACAATTACGAAATCGAAAAACTCAATTCAAATTAACGCTACGATCGAATCAAAATAATCACCCTTTCGATTTCGAAAACCCTAATTCCCAAAATCCCAAATTTCTATTCCCCAACGAAATTGGATTAAACAGAGATCGAAATTGAAAAAAAATAGAGATTTACGACAATCGGAATTCAAAATTAATTTGACATTAAACACCGACAATATTGAATTTCATAAAAATCGAAGCTTTTTTTTTGCAGAATGAGAATTATACCTTAGAAGAAGGAGCGAAAATAGATCCGAAAATCGC